TCAACTTATCTTCTATCGGTGCTACTCCTACCCATTCCCGAATAAACTCATTCCTAATCCTGTCCTGTCTAGTCTTACCACACATCCACCTTAGCATCCTCATCTCAGCCACACTCATCTTATCTACATGTTGTTGAGAAGTAATGTGACCTAAATAAAATAATTGTGACCCAAATAAAATAACGTGCTAAAATAGCATGCCAAACACCCCCTAAGAGTTTAGATTTTTTTAAGTTGGTTATCTCAATTTGAGAGAACATTTGGACTTGGTGTGCTCATTTTGGAGCCAACCTCGGTAATTCGAACCGTTCACTTTTTATGATTTGTTGAGTAGAATATTCATGAAAAAAATCAAAATATCGGTAGCTATATATATAAATTACATTTATATTACAAAAAATAAATAGATTCTTGAAATTATATTTGTATCAATTTTTTTTAAAACAAATGTTATTCAAATATATATTTATCGATATTTAATTATTTTAGTTTTTTCATAAATATTTAACTCGACTAATTTTAAACCTCAAATTGAATGGCCAAATTAAGGAATCAAAAACCGTTTAACTTTCTATTTGCTTTTACCCGGTTTTCGACTTGAATTTGTGATTATTACAATCTCACCCTTGGATTCTAATGATATTACATCTAAGTCAGTGTTCCACGTCATGCAACTTTGCCTTGATGCCTTAACGGGATATGGTTTGGGCGAAGGTAATTGTGACCCTTTATAATAAAATAAAAGGATAAATTACAAATATACTTATTGAGATTTGATTAAAATATAAATTATTTTTTGTAATTTTAAAAATTACATTCCATCCCTTGAGCTTTCTAATTTTATAACAAATCGTCCATTTTATTAATAAATCATCAAGTCAATTAACAGTTTTTAATGATGTTAGAAACATGTTTCAATTAATAATTTAGATAATTTTATCATTGTATAAGAGAACAATTATGAATTTTATTTTTTTTAGTTAATTCTGTTAAATAAAATATTCTAACAAGGAGGTATTTGTAATTTTTTAAATTATAAGGGTAATTTATATTTTAAGCAAATCTTATGGATGTATTTGTAATTTATCTTTGTTTTGTTTAAAATATAAATTGCCTTTATAATTTAAAAAATTATATAAATATTTTATTGTTAGAAAATTTTAAATATATTTTTCAAAATTTGTTTAAAATACATATTGCTCCTTATAATTTGGAAAATGGTAAATTACAAATACACCTTCTGATGTTTGCTTAAAATATATATTGTTTCTTGTGATTTGAAAAATTACAAATACCTCATTGTCAAAATTTTATATTTAACAGAATTAACTAAAAAAATGAAATTCATAATTGCTCTCCTATACAATAATAAAACTACCTAAATTATTAATTGAAACATATTTATAACATCATTAAAAATGGTTAATTAACTTCGTGATTTATTAATAAAATTAGCGATTTGTTATGAAATTAGAAACCTCAGGGGGTAGAATGTAATTTTCAAAATCATAGGGATTATTCGTATTTTAATCAAATTTCAAGAGTTATATTTGTAATTTACCAATTGGAAAATTACAAATACTTTATTGTCAAAAATTTTTTATTTAGCAGAACTAATTGAGAAAATGAAATTAATAACTACTCTCCTATACAATAATAAATTTACATGAATTATTAATTAAAATAAATTTCTGACATTATTAAAACTGTTAATTAACTTGATAATTTAATAATAAAATGGCTATTTGTTATCAAATTAAAAATTTCAAAGGGTGTGGTATAATTTTCAGAACTACAGGGGTAATTCGAATTTTGAGCAAATATCACGAGCTGCATTTGTAATTTATCCTATAATTTTTTTATTTAGCAGAATTAACAGAAAAAATGAAATTCATAATTACTATCCTATATAACAATAAATTACATAAATTGTTAATTGAAATATATTTCTAATATAATTAAAAGCTATTAATTGATTGATGATTTATTAATAAAGGGGAGGTTACCTGTTATGCAATTAAAAACTTGAAGGGCAAGATAAAATTTTCAAAATTATATGGACAATTCTTATTTTATTAAAAACAAGGGTAAATTACAAATACATCCCTTAAGATTTGTTTAAAGTATAGATTGCCCTCTGTGGTTTGAAAAATTACAAATACCCCTGTTAGAATTTTTTATTTAAGAGAATTAACTAAAAAAAATAAAATTTATAATTTCTCTCCTATACAATAATAAAATTATCTAAATTATTAATTAAAACATATTTTTAACATTATTAAAAATTGTTAATTAACTTGATGATTTATTAATAAAAGGGAACGATTTGTTATGAAATTAGAAATTTTAAGGGTGAAATGTAATTTCCAAAATCACAAGAGACAATTCGTATTTTAATTAAATCTCAAGATGTATTTGTAATTTACCCTTTAAAGAAATATCAAGGAATCTATTTGTAATTTGGTAAATGCTAAAAAGTGGCCGATGGTATTGTTTAATGTTGAAAATGTGTAAAAAGTATTTTGAAAACATGTAAAAATCTTAAAAAGTGTGATGATTTAAAAAAAAAGAAAAAATCGCCTTGTAATTTTTAATTTTTTTTTATCTTTTACATATATCCTAGGGGTACTTGCTAGGGGTACTTGCTAGCAAGGCCACTGTAATTTATTCAACAAAAATGAGAAAAATAAATATAAAAATATATTTTCAGATTTTAAAATTTATTTTCACTCAAACAAATTTTATACAAAAACAATAATATTTTCTTAGTTTTATTTGTTATTTCTTATAATGAATTAGTTTTTGGAAATTTTTAGAGACCGATTTTAAGAACTCAATATAAAAAAGATATTTTCAATTTTTAAATTTATTTTTACTCAAAAAAATTTATACAAAAACATTAATATTTTTTTAGTTTTATTTCTTATTTCTTATAATAAATTAGTTTTTGAAAATTTTTAGAAACCAATTTTAAAATTAGGGTTGCATTTGTTTTAAGTTGAAATATAAATTTGAACGTTATATTCAAATTCATGCATATATTTCATTTTGATGATCTTAATAATTAATTTTGTTAGGTCATTTGCTTATATTATTAATGAAAAAAAAATATTTTTAGTGAAACCCAACCCCATAGATGGACTTTCTACCATCATTATTGTTATTTGTTTCTTTTTAAAAATACGAACAATTTAACAAAATGAACGATTTAGATTATTAAAATAGAGTTCATGATAGATCTTACATGCCCAAATCATATCCTCGAGTAAG